TGTCCCAGGGTGCCCAGGGAGGCTGTGGCTGCCCCAACCCTGGCAGTGTTCACAGCCAGGTTGGCTGAGCCTTGAGCAACCTGCTCTGGTGGGAGATGTCCCTGCCCAGGGCAGGGCTTGGGGCTGGGTGATCTGTAAGCTCCATTCCAATCCCTAAAAATTCTATGATTCTATGAAAACATTCTATAAAAAGCCATACAGGATGCATTGCCACCTGAAGTCCTTGATGCCAACAGCAGGGACCTGGATACTAGGTAGACCCAACCTAGCATTTCAGATAGCTCTGCATGGAGCAGATCAATCCCACTCATGGCTCTTGCAGAATTACTCCCCACCCTGTGGTGATAAACAGCATCTGAGAGAGCCTTGCCCTGTGCAGATGTAAAACACCATCAGCCTCTGTGCAGCAATGCCCCAGTGCAGTTACTCCCTGTCCGTGCCAAAGGGCTTGGTGGTTATTTTTTTTTTTCGGTTGACAGCTAATTTTGCAGAGGGAGACAGGCAATAAAAATGCTGTGAATGGTGAAGGAAATGAGTCTGACTCACTTCCACTCTCCCTTTCAGGTTTTTATCCTGCACAGTGCTGCCTCTGACAGGGCTGGGATTATGCTGGGATTACTGATAGCATTCTCTGCTCTGCTGTGTAGATGGTTTTATTTTCAATCCCTTGTTGTGTTTTTTTTAATGAATCTGTTTCTATTTATTTTCCCATTTCCCTTCAGCAACTTCTACCTGACAGATTTAAATTGCTTCCCTTTCATTCCCATTCCAGCTGCAAGCACATCTCCTCCTTGAGAGCAAATGTGTTTTGAAAGGGAGAGGGAGGGAGGAAAAAAGCTAACATCACTTTGCACTTTGGTTTTAAGGAAATAAGGAGAAACTGGGAACATGAAAGGACTGGGTTTGCAGCAAAACTGGTGTTTTTCAGAGGGAAGCACTGCTTCCCTCTGCTTTCCAGACTGCTTTCATTTTCAGACTCTGGTGGAAGCTGGAGAGAAAAGCAGGTGACACTGAGTTTGTGTTGACCATCCAAAGGCTCAGGAGGGGAAATCAAACGGGTGTCCTGTCATTAGTTAGCAGTCTGTAAACAAAGCAGTCCACATCACCGTGCCTAAGGTCAGCCTGTGTGTGTGCAAGCAGGAGCTGGGGGGGATTAGGGCAGTGTTTGGTGTTTCTTGCTGGTTTAAATTGACTTGTCAAGTGGTGTGTTATGAAGCAGAGCCTGGACACATGGGTCAGAGGCATGAATGAATGGGTCTGGATCAGGACAGGCTGAGGAAGTTGGGACTGTTCAGCCTGGAGAAGAGAAGGTTGTGTGGAGATCTCATTGTAGCCTTTCAGGATCTGAAGGGGCTACAAGGGAGACAGAGAGGGACTTTGTTAGGAGCTGCAGTGATAGGACAAGGGTTATGGGTTCAAATTGAAGGAGGGAAATTTAGGCTAGATATCTGGAAGAAGTTTTGCCTGTTGTGGTGGTGAGACCCTGTCCCAGGGTGCCCAGGGAGGCTGTGGCTGCCCCAACCCTGGCAGTGTTCACAGCCAGGTTGGATGAGCCTTGAGCAACCTGCTCTGGTGGGAGGTGTCCCTGCCCAGGGCAGGGCTTGGGGCTGGGTCAGCTCTGAGCTCCATTCCAACCCCTACAATCCTATGGTTCTATGATTCTGTGATATGGTTTAGTGGTTCCAGCAGTGACAGGTTAATGGTTGGACTCAGTGATCTTAGAGGTCTCCTCCAACCTTGATGATTCCATGATTCTATGAAACCATCTGAAAGAATGTGGTAGGTGTTTCCACTAAGTTTCATGCGCCCCACGCTTGAAGATACACAGAGCAGTGATAGATGAACACGAGAAAACACCCAAGGAAGCTCACAGACCAGGTGAGGAGCTGGTTATTGGTAGGTTCAGGTGCCTGTTGAGGGCCCAGGACTGACAGAGGCCACCACTGTGTGTTGGTGTCCATGTGTCCTCAGCAAACTGTTCTGCTTGAACTCCTCACTAACCAAGGTAACTTCCAATCCATGTTGTTACTTTATCTCCAAATAATTACAGTGCATCATTTGAAGACAGTACATGTTTTAAATATCAGAGGAACCTTTTAAACCCACATCTTTTGCCTGGCTGAAGCAACTTCTCTTCTTTGGTAGCCTGCATGCAGAATTGTCTCCTGCTTGGAGAGGCACCAATAGGGACAGAAATGTAAATATTTACTGCCATCTTTTGGGCACTGTGAGTATGACTCAAAGGGAAAAAGGAGGTCAGTCCAGTGATTCAGTTGCATCTCCTTCAGCTTCGTCAGCTGATTCTTATTTGACCACCCAATGCCGAGGAACATCAGTTTTGTGATAGTTGCTATCAGTCTGAGCCTGCAAGTGAAGCAAGGTTTGTAGGGAGAGGTGCTTACCTTGATTTCAGCAAGCTGATAGGTTTGGGGGAAAAAAAAGCTAAGAGGTTTTCAGCACATCACCATTCTCCAGGCTCAAGGCAGTGTGTGTTCATTGCTCCAGGCTGTCAGAAGCTTTGTGTTTTGCTTTACTTTAATGCATAAGTGGTAGAATTCCCGAAGTCAACACCTGAATTTTTCAAGAAATACAACTCCAGTGCTCTTTAATCTAGAAAAAATATGAGGCTGTCAACATGCATTGGTTTATTTCATGTTATTTTAGCAGGGTACGAGGCTGTCAACATGTATTTGTTTATTTCATGTTATTTTAGCAGGGTAGGATATGCTGCATCACACTCCTCTGACCCTTTCTTCTTATCCAGTGTGCTGCTCAGCTGAAATGCTGATTAGGTGACCTTTCCTAATTGCAGTAGGGTGTTTTTCATCCACTTGAGGTGTCAGGTTGTATTTTTAACCTCGCACCTAATCAAACTTTCAGTCCTGCAGGCCATACAGAGACAGGTTTCCTGCTGTGCTAATAGCCCTTGCCTTGAAACTAGTCTGGATTTAATAGCAGTGAGGTACTT